TCCTCTCCTGGCTTTTTTCATTCCTTTCCCACCCCTTTTCCTTAATTTCCACCTCTTTTCCTTAAATTTCTCCCCCTTTTCCTTCCTTTTCCCACTTTTCCCAAATATTTTCCATCCTTTTTCCACCCACTTTCCTCTCCTGGCTTTTTTCATTCCTTTCCCACCCCTTTTCCTTAATTTCCACCTCTTTTCCTTAAATTTCTTCCCCTTTCCCACACCTTTTCCATTCTTTTTCCCCCATTTTCCTTCTTTTTTCCACCCACTTTCTTTCCTCTCCTGGCTCTTTTCCTTCCTTTCTCCCCATTTTCTATAATTTCCCACCTCTTTTCCTTCCTTATCTCACCTCTTTCCTTTCCCCCCCTCTTTTCCATCCTTTCCCACCCATTTTCATTCATTTTCCCCCCATTTTTCTTCATTTCCTCCCCATTTTCCTTCTTTTTTCCTCCCATTTTCCTTCCTTTCCCCCTGTTCTCCTTTCTTTCCTGGCCCTTCTTTTCTAATTTTCCCCTTTCTTATTTTTTAATTTCTCCTTTTCCAATTTTCCCCATTTCCCCCCTTTTTTTCTTTTGTAATTTCCTGCTTTTCTAATTCTATTCCCCTTTTACTTTCTGATTTTTCCCTGTTCTTCTTTTCTGACTTTCCCCTTTTTTCTTTTCTAATTTTCCCATTTTTTTTCTTTTCCAATTTCCCCCTTTTTTCTTTCCTAGTTTTTCCCATTTTTTAATTTTCCCCCATTCCCTTGCCAACTTTTCCCAAGTCTGCATTTGGGATTCCCTCGCTTCAGGTTTTTCTGCAATTCCCCTGCTCCAGTAGGAAACCTTCCAGCACCTGGAGTATTTTCACTCCCTGAAAATCAAATTTTGGCAGGATTTCTCCCTGCAGAGCCCTGGCTCCTGTTTTCCATCAGGGATGAAAACCCAGCAGCTGGAATGTAACAAAAACAGAAAAGAAAAGCAGGAATTTCTGAATTTTGCTGGAATTTTGCTCCATTTAAAGGCCATTTTTAGGTGGAATTTCTTTGCCATGTTCAGCTCTTCCCTGTCTGGGTGTTTTCTTGTTAATTTAACTCATCCTTTTAATTGGGAGCAGCTGCCTCCAGCCCTGTGCATGGAATTTTCCTTTATTTTCATGCCCAAACCCTTTAGGAAAAAAACAGGAAATTGTCAGGAATTTAAAAAAAAATCCCTGTTCACCTTCCAGGTGGGATTCCCTGTGGAATCCTGGTGTTTGAGGAATGGCTTTGCAGTCATTCCCTGCAAACCAAGCAGGGAACTGAACAAAAATGGGATTTTTTTTGGGGTGGATCAGTCATATTTTAACATTTCCCCCCATAGGTTTTCTTGTTGGGTCACTCATGGAGATTTCAGAAGTTTTGGGAGCAATTTTCCTGTTTTTCCATTTTTTATTCTCTCGTTTTGAGGAACCTCGGGTGGAAAAACAGCTCCTTGTAAAATAGTCCAGCTGAAATAGGATTGGAATTTGTATTTTTATATATATCCAGGAATTTCCCTGGATGTACAGAAGATCCTTGGAAAATCAGACAAAGCCAAGGTGGTTTTTAGGGAAGCTCAGGAAAAATTCCAAATCCAGGAGTACCAGACCCAGAGACACCCAGAACGAGCAGGAATTCCCCTGGCACAGCCCTGGAGCTTGGGATGGCTGCAGGAAAAAAAATCAAATTTCCCTTTGGGAAAAATATTCCGGATTTTGCTATAGGAAAAATAATAAATTTTCCCTTTGGAAGAAATATTCTGGATTTTGCTATAGGAAAAATAATTAACTTTTCCCTTTGGGAAGAATCCTGAATTTAGATATAGCAAAAAGAATAACTTTTCCCTTTAGGAAGAATGTTCTAATTTGGCTGTAGCAAAAAGAATAATTTTTCCCTTTAGGAATAATTCTGAATTTGGGTGTAGGAAGAAGAATAGGTTTTTCCTTTGGGAAAAACATTGTGAATTTGGCTGTAGGAGGAAGAATCGTTTTTCCTTTGGGAAGAGTTCCAAATTTGGCTGTAGGGAACAGAATTGGTTTTTCCTTTGAGAAGAATATTCTGAATTTGACTGTAGCAAAAAGAATAACTTTTGCCTTTGGGAAGAATTCTGAATTTGGCTATAGCAAGAACAGTCACTTTTCCCTTTGGGAAGAATATTCTGAATTTTGCTATAGGAAAAATAATTTATTTTCCCTTTGAGGAGAATATTTTGAATTTGGCTATAGGAAGGAGAATCATTTTTCCGCTGGGGAAGAATTCCGAATTTGGCTATAGGGAAAAGAATAGGTTTTTCCTTTGGGGAGAATATTGTGAATTTAGCTGTAGGAGGAAGAATCATTTTTCCCTTGGGGAAGAGTTCCAAATTTGGCTATAGAAAGAAGAATCATTTTTCCCTTTGGGAAGAATTCTGAATTTGGCTGTAGGAAGGAGAATAATTTTTCCCTTGGGGAAGAACATTGTGAATTTGGCTGTAGGAAGGAGAATAATTTTTCCCTTGGGGAAGAATTCCAAATTTGGCTGTAGGAGGAAGAATCATTTTTCCCTTTGGGAAGAATTCCAAATTTGGCTGTAGGAAGGAGAATCATTTTTCCCTTGGGGAAGAATTCTGTATTTGGCTGTAGGAAGGAGAATCATTTTTCCCTTGGGGAAGAATTCTGTATTTGGCTGTAGGAAGGAGAATCATTTTTCCCTTGGGGAAGAATTCCAAATTTGGCTGTAGGAAGGAGAATCATTTTTCCCTTGGGGAAGAACATTGTGAATTTGGCTGTAGGAAGGAGAATAATTTTTCCCTTGGGGAAGAATTCCAAATTTGGCTATAGGAGGAAGAATCATTTTTCCCTTTGGGAAGAATTCTGAATTTAGCTGTAGGAGGAAGAATCATTTTTCCCTTGGGGAAGAATTCCAAATTTGGCTATAGGAAGGAGAATCTTTTTCCCCTTGGGGAAGAATTCCAAATTTGGCTATAGGAAGGAGAATCATTTTCCCCTGGGGAAGAATTCTGAATTCAGCTGTAGGAAGGAGAATCATTTTCCCCTTGGGGAAGAACACCGACTTTCCACAGGCTTTAGCTGAAGGACTCCCTCAGCTCTGCCAAGCCTGGCTGGTCGTTTGCTTGCCCCGGCGCCCCGTGTGCTGCGAGAATGGGGATTTTGGGGGAAGGCTTTTCCTTGTGTTTTACCTGCCATCTGCAGATGCTGCACAGACTCTCCCAAAGGAGCAGAGCGTCGCTAAGCCCAGCCCAGACCAGCTGCAGGTAAACCCCACTGCCCAGTGGGTTCTTTTCTTGTACAGAGCCGCCCCTTCTCTGTACCTCTGCATGGTGGACTGCCAGAACTTTTTGTCCTTCTCGTTGTGCTGCTCCTCACCTTTTTTTTTTTTTTTTTTTTTTTTCCTGGGGGAAAAATTCCCCCCCAAAAATGAAAAAGTTCTCGGAGTCCACAGAGCAGGGACAGAGCCACCCTTCTCTGTTCTCCTCGTGACAGAGTGCCAGTCTCTGAGCGCGTTCTTCTGGGGTGCAGCACTTCCAGGCCTCAGCTTCTCCAGCAGTGCTTTCCTGCTTTTTCCTCCACCTCTTTTATCCCACCTTTTCTCCCACTAGGAATTACCAAATAAAATCATTCACTGTGCTTTAGTTAGGATTTGTTTCCAGCAGCTTTTTTCAGGCAGAGGTGATAACCTAGGAAAAATCTTGGCGCCTCCGATGTTTTTTCCAGGTGTGGTTTGGGGTGAAGGCTGGGAGGTGTCAGAGTCACAAAATCAACTTTCACTGCATGGAAAAAACCGCCAACTTTGGGATTTTTGCCAAGCTGAAGATTTTTCCTTGGTGCTGATTCCAGAGGCTTTTAAGAGAAATAGTTTGTAGTTTTTATTCTGAATTATTTCCTCTTCCTACCTGCTTGGTCTCGTGCTGCAGCTGGTGCCTGGGGATGGAAGTGCTGCATCCCCTTGTCCCTGCAAGCTCTGCTGGGCTAATTCCTGGATTTTCCTTCCTGCAGCTCAGCCAGGAGGAAGGATCTGACTCTGGGATCCTGGAGGGTGACAGCAAAAGCTCAGCTCCAGCTACCTCAGAGCCCAAATGTGACAGTTGTGAAGGTGAGGGACAAATTTCTGAATTATCGCAACGTTGGCAAACGTGTGTGGGACACAGAGCAGCAAAATGCTGGAGGATGGACTGAGAAAAAACTGGTTTGGAATAGAAATATTAAAAATCTTGATGCTCAAGATTGAGTCTCTGGGGTCCTGAAGGATGACAGCAAAAGCTCAGCTCCAGCTACCTCAGAGCCCAAATGTGACATTTGTGAAGGTGAGGGACAAATTTCTGCATTATCACAACGTTGGCAAACGTGTGTGGGACACAGAGCAGCAAAATGCTGGAGGAAGGAGCTGGAAGACTCAAAAAAGCCCTGGTTTGGAATAGAATAATTAAAAATCTTGGTGCTCAAGACTGAGAAATTGCAAAGTTCACCACAGGTATTTTATTTTCTGGCGTAAATGCTCTGAGTGCAGTGGCAGGTTAAGCCCCAAAATCTCATCTCTCACTGAGTAATGCCATGAGAAAAAAAATCTTCCAGACCTTGCTGGAGGGTGTTTTCAATGCTGGAATTATCTTTGATCCATCCCTCTTCCCAAGGGAGGTTCCTGAGCTCACAGAACACAGCCTGGGCTGGCTGCAGTCATTCCCTGCAAACCAAGCAGGGAACTGAACAAAAATGGGGATTTTTGGGTGGATCTGTCATATTTTGACATTTCCCCCGTGGCATTTTTTTTTGCTGGGTCACATGTGGAGATTTCAGAAGTTTTGGGAGCAATTTTCCTGGTTTTCCACTTTTTATTCTCTCTTATCAATGAAAAAAGCAGCTCCTTGTTTCCAGCTCAAATGGGAGAGCTGGAAATTCCCTGGATTTACCAACCAGCCTTGGAGACACTTGGAAAAATCCCTGGATTTACCAGCCAGCCTTGGAAACCCTTAGAAAATTCCCTGGATTTACCAGCCAGCCTTGCAGAGTCTCAGTTTGGGATCCCAGGCTGGAGCATGGGGGGGATGGATCCCACTTCTTGGGAATTCAGGAGCTGCAAACTGAATTCCAACCAGTCCTTTCTGCATTTTAAATCACTCAGGGCTGGCTGGGGAAGTGTTTGTGTTTCTGTGGTGAAATTTTAAATTAAACTCGGCCTGTCCCAGTGCAGGGGCAGTGGGAACACTGGGATATTCCCTGATTTGTGCAGGGATTTTTACCAGATTAGGGATATCCAAACCCCACAAGTAAAAAAATCAGATTTTAACCCGATTTTTTTCTCTGCTCATGTCTCTCACCCAATGACTTGGACTGTGCTTGGCTCTTCCAGATAATGATTTGATAGAAAACCTCTCCAAAAGCAAAAAACCCAAGCTGGACCTGGTTTTTGAGGAATGGGATGTGGCTGGGCTGCCGTGGTGGTTTTTAGGGAATCTCAGAAGCAATTACAAATCCAGGAGTAACGGATCCACGGATATTCAGACTAACCAGGTGTGTAAAAGGGGCTTTGTGTCCTCTTTCTCTCCTGTCTTGGCTTACAAGGAAATAAAATATTCTGTTTTTTTTCTCTCTTTCCCCTTCCCACTCCAGGATTTTCAGCCTTTTTCCCACTCTGGACCTTTCCCATTGGGTGGTTGTGAATTTTAAGGTTTTTAAATCGACCAAATTCTTTCCTTAAGGCCCTCAGAGGTGCCTGGATTTCAGGAGTTGCCCTTTTTTTTTATTGAGGCGGACATTGTAGGGTGGTGGGGGAGCTGGAAGGAGGTGGGAGTTGGAAAAAGGGGAGATGGTGAGGTAAAAACTGGGAAAAGGTTGTGAAAAGCGGAATTTGTGAGGTAAAGATTGAGAAAAGGGGCATTTGTGAGGTAAAAATTGGGGAAATAGTGGGAAAAGGGGAATTTGTGAGGTAAAGATTGAGAAAAGCTTGGGAAAGGGGGAGCTTTTGAGGTAGAAATTGGGAAAAGGGGAATTTTTTGAGGCAAAAATTGGAAGAATGTTGGGAAGAGGAGAATTTGCGAGGTAAAGATTGGGAAAAGGTTGAGAAAAGGGGAATTTGTGAGGTAAAAATAGGGAAAAGGGGAATTAGTGAGGTAAAAATTGGGAAAAGGTTGGGAAAAGGGGATTTCGTGAGGTAAAAACTGGGAAGAAGGGAATTTGTGAGGTAAAAATTGGGGAAAGGTTGAGAAAAGGGAATTTGTGAGGTAAAAATTGGGAAAAGGTTGGGAAAAGGAGAACTTGTGAGGTAAAAATTGGGAAAAGGTTTGGAATTTGTGAGGTAAAAATTGGGAAAAGGTTGGGAATTTGTGAGGTAAAAATCGGGAAAACTTTGGGAAAAGGAGAACTTGTGAGGTAAAAATTGGGGAAAGAGGAGCCTGTGAGGGGGAAATTGGGAAAAGGGAATCTGTGAGGTGAAGATTTTTAAAATGGAAACCTGTAAGGTGGAAATTGGGGAAAAAGGGGGATTGTAAGGGAGAAATTGGGAAAAGATAAGCCTGTGAGGGGGAAACTGGAGAAAGGGGAACTTGCAAGGTGGAAATTGGGAAAAACTGAGTTGGTGAGGGGGGAATTGGAGAAAGATTGGGAAAAGGGGAGCCTGTGAGGTAAAAACTGGGGAAAGGGGGAACTTGTGAGGTGGGAATTGGCAAAAAGGGAATCTGTGAGGGGAAAATTTTAAGAATGGAAACCTGTGAGGTGGGAAAAGGGGGGCCTGTGGGGCAGAAATTTTCAAAAGGGGTGTCTGAGGGCAGTGAGGTGCCCAGGGCTTTGGAGGGTTGGAGAGGAGAATGAGACAACAACAAATTATTTTTCCTGGGTTTTTTTGTTTTTTTTTTCCCCTCAGGACATTGACACTGCCATAGTTTCAGACACCACGGATGACCTGTGGTTCCTCAACGAGTGTCCCCTGGACCAGGGCGCTGCTGGGCTCAAGGTGGAAGTGCTGGACTGTGAGGAGGTCACAGAAGGTGACACCAAGGTACCTCTGGCACAGTTTTCTCTGTTTTAATTCATCCCAGGGCGCTCTGCTGCCCTTAAAAAGGCTGGATCTGTTCCCATCCAGAGCCTAAATCCTGTTCAGAAGAGGCTGTCACCATTCCTCATGTGTTTGATGGTTTTCCTGCTTGGGTTTTGGTTTAAATTCAATTTTTCAAGGCATAAAATCAATTGAAAATGGATTAAACTTCTCGCAGCAACTTAAGTGGGTTTCTGACCAATACCTGCAAGAGTTATAAATCAAAAATCATGGAGTTAAGCTTGGAAAAGGATTTTAAAAACCGAGTCCAGCTAAAGACTCAAAGAAGAAAGTCTGATCATGGTGAACAAGCAAAAGTTACCAACATTCTGCTAAAGAATCACTGCAAAAATGGTTTTTAATTCACTTTTAGAAGTGATCTAATGAGCAGGGTGATGCTGTAATCCTTTAATTGGAGTGGCCATCGCCAGGCAAACAATAAATAGGGAATATTTCAACATTCTCACCCTCTGACAATGCTTTCCTGGAATTCCAGGTACCTGAGGATGTGTGCTTGGATGAGCTGGAGGATTCCCAGTGCCTGAGTGATGACACGGACACAGAAGCTGCTTCTGAGGTGGGAATTCTTTGGGATTACCTGGGGCTGGAAGGGCTCATCCCACATCTGTTGCTGCTTTTGGGGTGGGAAAAGCTGATTTTCTTGTGGGATTCCAAAAAGAAAAGTGGCTGGGTGAAGTTACGTTGACACCCAGGCATGTTTAATAAGGTTTTAATAAGATTTTAATTCCGTGTTGTCCTCTGGATGGAAGTCTGGAGGATTGTCCTTGGAAGGGACCTGGGAATCTCAAGTAGAACTTTATAATCAGTCAAAAACTACGAATTTTGGTGGTTTTGAGCAGAATTTTAGTGGTTTTTAGCAGAATTTTCCAGCCTGGAATAAATGGGGATATCCCTGGCTTTGGACAGCTGAGTCCTGGCTCTGCACTTGTGCAGCTCTTGCCCTTTTCTGTGAGAAAATTAATAAATCCATTAATTATGCAGATTCAACAGCTGGTAAGTGATGGGTGAGCCTGGAAAAGCAAATTCCAGGAGCTCTCCCCTTGAATTTTGAGCAAAAGATTGAAAATTCTCTTGAAATTAAATAAAAATAAACTGCCCCATCTTGGATACTTCCAGAGGGCTGGGAGAGAGGAAGGAGAGGAATTCATGAGGGACAGATCCGGGATGAATCAATCCCAAGCCACAAAATGTTGGTTTTTCCAGCTTATAAATCACTCATAAATAATTTTTTTTTAAATGAGGCTTCCTTGCTGCTTTACCTACACGGCTAAAACAAGGAATAGCCAAAAATAAATTGATTTTTTTTCGTTTTTTTGGCTGGATTTTTTTTTGCCTTAAATCCCTCAGGACTGCTGGCAATGCTCCAAGTGCAGGAAATTCAACTCTCCGGGAAAAAGGTACTGCTTCCGCTGCTGGGCCCTGCGCAAGGACTGGTACCGGGACTGCCCCAAACTGCCCCATTCCCTGTCCCTTTCCAACATCAATTCCATGGAAAACCAGGAGCAGGATGAAGGGATGGACGTCCCAGACTGCAGGAGGACGATCTCGGCCCCGGCTGGCCAACCCAAACCCCTTTTCCTGGCAGAAAACAAACCCTGCGCCGATCCCGGCGGCTCCATCGAGTCCTTGGATTTGGCGCGGGATGGGAAAAATCGGGATTTTGCCAAGCTGAAGGAAGAGGAGGAGGTGGAATCTTTGGAGAGCATCAAAACCCTGCTGAATCCCTGCTTCCTGTGCCAGCACAGGCCTCGGGATGGGAATATTGTCCACGGAAGGACTGCTCACCTGGTGGCCTGCTTCAGGTGTGCCAGGATGCTGAAGAAGAAGAGATCGCCATGTCCCGTGTGCAGGAAGGAGATCAAGATGGTCATCAGGATCTTCATGGGGTAGGGAGGCTTCCTGTCCCGAAAGTAATCCTAAAATCTGGATTTTTGCACTCAAACCCCCATTGCAGTGTGTGCAGGAAGGAGATCAAGGTGGTCATCAGGATCTTGAAAGAATAACCCCAAAATCTGGATTTTTGCACTCAAACCCCATTGCAGTGTGTGCAGGAAGGAGATCAAGATGGTCATCAGGATCTTGAAAGAATAACCCCAAAATCTGGATTTTTGCACACAAATCCCAACTGCAGTGTGTGCAGGAAGGAGATCAAGGTGGTCATCAGGATCTTCATAAAATAACCCCAAAATCTGGATTTTTGCACTCAAACCCCCATTGCAGTGTGTGCAGGAAGGAGATCAAGGTGGTCATCAGGATCTTGAAAGAATAACCCCAAAATCTGGATTTTTGCACTCAAACCCCATTGCAGTGTGTGCAGGAAGGAGATCAAGATGGTCATCAGGATCTTCATGGGGTAGGGATTCTTCCTGTCCCGAAAGTAATCCCAAAATCTGGATTTTTGCACACAAATCCCAGTTTCAGTGTGTGCAGGAAGGAGATCAAGATGGTCATGAGGATCTTCATGGGGTATCAGGATCTTCTGACCCTAAAATAATTCCAGAAAGAGGATTTTTGCACTCAAATCCCAATTTCAGTGTGTGCAGGAAGGAGATCAGGATGGCCATCGGGATCTTCATGGACCTTCTACTAAAATAACCCCAAAAATAGAAATTTTTTTTTTTTTTTTGCACAAAACCTCGAATTCCAGAGTTTGGTCTGCAGGATCAAGATGGTCATCAGGATCTTTATGGGATAGCAGGACCTTCTGCCCCTAAAATAACCCCAAAATGAAGATTTTTGCACTCAAACCCCAATTCCAGAGCTCAGCCAGTGAAACCAAAGAAAACAAAGATTTAATCCCAGCAAGAATCATCCACAGGATCCACTTTTCCATGGAAATCACCTCGAGATCAAAACCCCAACTTGGAAATTTTCCCGATTTCCCATCTTCAGCTGGATTTTATCCTTTGCATAAAATTTCTTGGATTCTTTCTCCTGACCAAGAACAGCAGATTTTGGAAAAATCGAAAACTTTGGAATGTGTTTTTTTTTTTTTCCATAAATCCCGACTTGTGCAATTCCTTTGGAGCTGAGAAATAAAAACAGAATATTTATGGTGGGAGGGAAGGGGATTGGTTTTGGAGAGAAGAAAATGAACTTTATTCCTATTTTTTTAATTGTTTAAGGTTGGCAGGGTGAAGAATTCCTTGCTCCCAGATGGGAAATAAATCCAAGTTTTTAATCCAGGTCACAAATGCGATGGAAAAATAATAATAATGTTATATTTTTCTTTCTTTTTTGGCTCTTTAATTTCTATTTCTTCTCAGTTTTGTGTATTTAAATCTATTCTGTACCACCTCTGACCAGCAGGATTCAATTCCAGCAGCTTTGGGATATTTTGGGATGTTCACCTGCTCTCACCTATCATTTAGGCTAAAACAATCCTCTTTTTTTAATGAAAAGTGGCTTTAAAAACAAAACACATTGTTTTTTGGGGGTAAAATCATTCCTTTAAAGCTCCATTTGCACCTTTTTCAGGCATAGTTTTTCCCTTTTCTAGCAGATTTTTTTCTCCATTTCCAAGCAATTTTTTTTCTCCGTTTCCAAGCAATTATTTCCCATTTGCAGGCAAATTTTTCCTTCTTTTCAGGCAGATTTTTCCCCTTTCCAAATATATTTTTCCTCTTTCCCAACAGATTTTTTTCCCCCTTTTTAGTAATTTTTTTCCCCTTTCCAGACAGGTTTTTCCCCTTCCAACATCTGCAAAATCCCTTGGGAATGGCAGCAGTAAATCCTCTGGATTTGACCCTTTGTTCTGCAGCCCCCCACCCCATCCCTGTGACAATTCCGGGCGGATTTCTTCTCCCTTTTCTGGCTGTTTTTTGGGATCAGGGCTCCTGGAGAAGGCGGAGCTCACTAGAGGGCTCCCACACCCAGCTCCTGCCACTCTCCCTCCTTCCAGGATCCACATTCCCGGCTGGAAAAGGCGCTCAGGGACACCATCCCATGGCTGGGGGTTATTTTTCCTGATTTCCCAAACCCACAAATCCATATTTTCCCCTGTCCCAAATCCCAGTGATTCCCCTTGGACCCCTCCAGGTGCATCTCAACATTCCCAGTTTTTTTTTTTCCTACTTCCTCCCCTCTTTTCTTCCTGTTTTTCTTTTTTTTTTTTTTTTTTTCCTTTTTGTCTTTGGATATTTAAGATATTTTCTACCCTTTAGCAATGACCATTTTTTTTTTTTTTTTTTTTTTTTCCCATTTTACCCTTTATCCACAAAAATTTTGGGATCTTGTGTGATCACGGATCCATCCAGCCCCACAGGGAAGTGTCACCGTCACCGTTTGCCATTCTTCTATCCCAAATCCTCCCTTCCTGCTTTCCCCCAGGTGACAGCAGTGACAGAGCAGGGCGTGACACTTGGTTTGATGATCCCAATGCTCCCAAAAACCCCCAGAAATAACCCCAAACCCCAAAGGAAAAAAAAACTTTTTGTTTTAGCGTTTTTTTAGGTTTTTCTTGTATTTCCAGAGCAGGGACTGTCCAGCGAGGGAGGTGACACTGGGATTGCTTTGTTTGATGATCCCAAGGCTCCAAAAAACCCCAAGAAAGAAACCCCAGACCCCACACAGTTCCCAAAGGAAGAAATCTCTTGTTTTTAGGGGTTTTTAGGTTGGTTTTTTTTTGTATTTCCAAAGCAAGGACTGTCCAGCAAGGGAAGTGAAACCTCTGGGGTGTCCCTGGTGCCAGGGGGACACAGGTTTGGGGTTCCTTTTATGGCTCTTCACCCACTCGGGGCATCGTCCCCACAGTGTTCTCCATCCCTTCCCATCTTCCCAGCGGGGTTTTGTTTGGGATCCACGGCCAAATCCATCCCCTCCACACAGATCCAGGACCACCAGAGGCTCCTCTCCCATGGATCCTGAGGCTCCTCAAGGTCACATCCACAAAATCCCATTTTTTTTTCCCCACCGTCTGTCTTTTTTTTGTTAAAAAAACCCTTTCCTCCCTCCCCACCCACCCCAAAATCCCGCTCATTCCCCCCAAAATCCTCCCTCAGCACTCCAGGGGCGCCGCCTGCACCTGCACGGCCAGGAGGTGTCCCCGGGGCTGCAGGGGATAAACCACGCGCACGGCCCCGGCCCCACGGAGCGATTCCCGCCGGGATCCGGCGCGCGCCGCCGCCCCCAGGAGCAGCAGGCCCAGCAGCAGCGCCGTCACCAGCGTCCCCCGTCCCCACGGCATCCCCTGCCTGGCCTCTTTAGTCCTGGCGGTCACGCAGGCCACCCTGACCGGCGGTGCCACCAAGGCGACGTGCAGACACGCCCGGTACTCGGTGTCGGGGCGCAGCCGGGTGATGTTGAAGCTGTGGGTGCCCGCCGGGATCCTCGCCGCGCCCAGCCGCGAGCCCAGCGTCGAGCTGGCCCACGTGAGGTTGGAGGAGACGGCGTTGAGGCGCGGCCGCCACGCCAGCAGCACGTGGTGGGGCTGGACGTCCACCACCAGCAGCTCCAGCTCGGCCCGGCCCAGCGGGAAGGAGCGGTTGACCAGCACGCGGACGCCGCGGGTGTCGGCGCCCAGCACGTTGTGAGCCACGCACGTGTAGAGCCCGGCCTCGCCCGCCGCGATCCCGCGGATCTCCAGCGTCCCTTCGGAGTGCACCTTGAACTTCCCGTCATCCCCGAACGGCAGCAGCTTGGCGCCGGTTGGCGTCACCCAGTAAACCTCCGGCTCCGGCTCCGCCAGCGCCCGGCAGTGCAGGGCCACGTTGTCGCCCACCTCGGCGTCCAGGCGCGCCGGGATGCTGCGGGCGGAGATGAGCGGCAGGCAGCGCTCCGTCATCTCGCGGAAAGGGACGTCGCGGATGTGGCGGCGCTGGAGGTCGGGGGGCTCGGCGCAGAGCGTGGACTGGGGCTCGATGAAGCGCACGCGGGGCCGCGTGCCGTTGACCCAGCGGATGACGCAGTCGCAGCGCAGCGGGTTGCCGTGGATGCTGATCTCCTGCAGGTTGGGCAGCGACTCCACCGTCTGCCGGTGCAAGGCACTTAGGGCGTTGTTGTTGAGCATCAGCGTCTCCAGCTGCGGAAGGTGCTGGAAGGCCTTGGGGTGGATGAAGGACAGCTTGGGGTTGTTGGTGACGTCCAGCTTGGTCAGCTCGGGGAGGTTGATGAGGGCGAACTGATCGATGGACACCAGCTCGTCCATGTTGTTGAGGCCCAGCTCCTTGAGGTGCAGCATGTTGGTGAAGTCGCTCTGCTTGACCCTCTGCAGCGGGTTCTTGTTCAGATCCAGGAATTTCAGGCCGGGCACTTGCTGCAGAGCCCTCTTGGGGACATCCGCCAGCTTGTTGTCGTAGAAGGAGAGGCTCTCCAGGCTCCTCAGCCCTTCCAGGGCGTAATCCGAGATCTCCCGCAGCTGCATCCCGGCCAGCACCAAACTCCGCAGGTTGCCCAGGGGCCGGAAATTCATGTCCAGGATGGCGTCCACCTTGTTCCCCCCGACCATGAGGATCTCCAGGCTGGGCAGCATCTGGAACCAGCGGCTGTCCAGCGTCCTCAGCAGGTTGGAGTTGAGGTGGAGCCGCAGGAGGCTGCCCAGGCCGGCGAAGGCGCGGGGGGCGATGCTGCGGAGCCGGTTGTGGTTCAGGTAGAGCTCCTGAAGGTTCCCCAAGCCCGGGAAGCTGCTGTCGGGCAGCTCGGAGAGCTGGTTCTCCTCCAGGTGCAGGCTGAGCAGCTGGGGCATGTTCCTGAGCCCGAAATCCCAGACGTCGGAGAAGCTGTTCTGCGACAGATCCAGCTCCGACAGGTTCCGCAGGTAGCCCAGCTCGCCCTGCTCCAGCCTGGCGATGTTGTTGCTCTGCAGCAGCAGGGTCTGGGTGCCCTCGGGCAGCTCCGGGGGCACCGAGGTGATGAAGAGGTCGTTGCAGTCCACCGTGGCCGCCTCGCGGTAGGCGGAGCGGGGCGTGTACCAGGGCCGGATCTGGCACACGCAGCGCGGGGGACACGCCACGCGCCACGGCACCGTGGGCATGGCGCTGGCGGCCACCACGCACAGCAGGAGGCAGCCGGGCTGGAGGCCTCTCATTTTGAGCTGGAGAAGGTCACGGGGAGCATCCAGAGCTGGCCAGCGGGTGACAGCGGTGACGGCGAGGTGGGGACGGTGCCCGTGGGGGGAGATGCTCCATGCGAGCCCCTGGAAGCGTCGGGCCCTGCCTGGCGCCCCCGAAATGGGAGCTGAAAGCGCTGGGGGCACCTCAGTCAGAGCTGGGCCTCTTCTTCCTCTCCAAAGGAGTCGTTCCCGTGCTCGGCTGCATCTTCCAGGCTCCTCCTCGAGGTCATTCCTGGAAAAACAGCGGAGTTGGGTTAGGGGAGGGTTTGGGCTCATGGGGAACCAGGGGCAGGGACAAGGGACAGGTTGGGGAGGTAAAAACCTGAGGATGGCACCCCCAGGACCCTGCCCGGGGTCTGCAGTGCCCTCAAACTGCCCAGCAAATCCATGAATTCTGGTTTATATCCATGGCATTCACTGTGCCCTCCCATCTGAGAGAACCTGGGTGGAATTATCCCATGGAATCGGCCCAGGACCCTCCAAACAAGTCTGTGAATTCCACTTTATATCCATGGTATTCTCTGTGCTCTCCCATCCTACAGGATCTGGGTGGAATTATCCCGTGGAATCTGCCCAGGACACCCAACACGCTCCAAAAAAATTCCATAAATTCCACTTTACATCCCTGATTGAACTGTGTCCTCCCATCCCATGGGATCTGAGTGGAATTATCTCATGGAATCCACCCAGGACCCACCAAACAAATCTTTAAATTCCACTTTATATCCATGGTATTCTCTGTGCTCTCCTATCCCACAGGATCTGGGTGGAATTATCCCATGGAATCTGCCCAGAACCCCCAGCATCTCCTGAATCTGTGGCTGAGCAGAGCCAGAGCTGTGGGAGTTTGGAATAACTTTCCATGGGAATAATTTTCCATGGGAATAATCTTCCTGCAGGCTCTGCTCCCTGCTCCTCATCCTCCCCAGCTCCAAATTCCCACATCCAGGTGCTCCAGCCCCATTGGCAGCCCTCCGATGGGAGATTCCTTAGGGAAAAACATCCCCCAAACACCGGGAATTCTCAAGGTGGGGCTGGGATGGGTTTGAACCCTCTGGCATCTCCTGCCCCTCTCCCAATCCATGATTTCCTCCAACTCCCCGCCCCGCGCTGACCTCAATCCAACATTTTTTTCCCTTAAAAGCCTCTCACCCAGCAGGGAAAAAAACCCAAAAAACGATTAAAAGAGTGGGGAAAGCAAAGTTTCAGTTTTATGCCCACCGTGCTCTCCTTGGAAAGGGCTCCGGAGCCGAGTTTATTCCACATCGACTCCTCCCGGATCGATCCCGCTCTTTTCTCTCCTTCCCTGCTGCTTTTAAAGCAGCTCCTGCAGAAGCAGCATGAAAGGAAAGGATGGATCCATCGATTCCCGCTTCCCTCCGATGGATCCACACCTTTTAAGTGCTCCGGTGTTTTCGGGTCTATAAAAGCCTCCAGTTGTTCCAATATCTCGGGAATCTTCTCTCCTTAAAAAACAAATATCACGGAGGAATTTGGGGGTTTTATTTCTTTTCTTCGAGGTGTGAAGGAAAGGCTGGAAAAGGTGTCTGGTTTTCCAGGGAAAAACGCCTCCAGCTCTGCTGCTTTTGTCCATAATCGGATTTTATCCCATTTTTCCCAGCACAGATGGCTGGGAGAAATCTTGGACACGGGAAAATCCAGGGGATGGTGTGAGTCATGAGATGGGAACTTGTGGGAAAATGGTGGATTTGGGAAAACTTGGGGCTGAAACTCATGGAAAGGAAACTGGGAGAACAGGAAGAACTTTGGCAGTGAGTGATCCCACCTGAGGGGGAAAAATCCCAGGAAAGGATGGGGCTGATCCTGCTCTGCCTGGGGAGCAGCTCCCGGAATTCCTGCAGGGGTGGTGGCACCTCCAGCCTGGTGGGGACAGGGTGGCCCTGCCCGCTGTGGCTGCTGGTCCCGTGTGCGACATTCCCGAGGGATGGCGGCTCCCGGGGCTTTGCTGGGGGAGATCCTGGAGTGAGCTGAGCTTGGGGGGCTGCTCTCCAGCTTTTCCAGCTTCTCCATCTTCTCTGGATTCCTGGGATTCCTCAGCTTCTCCATCTTGGGATTCCCCAACTTCTCCATCCTCTCTGGATTCCTGGGATTCCTCAGCTTCTCTATCTTGGGATTCCCCCGCTTCTCCATCTTCTCTGGATTCCTGGGATTCGTCAGCTTCTCTATCTTGGGATTCCCCAGCTTCTCCATCTTCTCTGGATTCCTGGGATTCCTCAGCTTTTCTATCTTGGGATTCCCCAGCTTCTCCATCTTCTCTGGATTCCTGGGATTCCTCAGCTTCTCTATCTTGGGATTCCCCAGCTTCTCCATCTTCTCTGGATTCNTGGGATTCCCCAGCTTCTCCATCTTCTCTGGATTCCTGGGATTCCTCAGCTTCTCTATCTTGGGATTCCCCAGCTTCTCCATCTTCTCTGGATTCTCCATCTTCCCCAGCTTCTCTGGCTTCTCCATTTTCCCCATTTTCTCCCGCTCCTCCAGTTTTTCCATCTTCCCTGGCTTCTCCAGTTTTTCCATCTCCTCCATCTCCTCCATCTTTTCCATCTTCCCCAGCTTCTCCAGCTCCTCCAGCTCCACCACACACCGGGCACAGTGGGACCTTCCCGTCCCTGTCACCCCCCCGGCATGGGCAGATGGGAAGTGGCCCTTGGATGCTGTGGGAAAACCCTTTCCTCATCCATTCCCGTTTTTCCATCTCCACCCAGCCCCTGGGGGAAGTTGGAATGCTGGGAGCGGACAGGAGGGAATTATTGTGGGATTGTGGAATCCTGGAATGATTTGGGGTTGGAAGGGACCTTAAATCCCAACCAGAGCCATGGACAAGGAATTCCCACTATCCCAGAGTGCTCCAGCCCAGCCTGGGACACTCCCAGGGATGGGGCAGCCACGGATTCTGTGGGAATTTGCAAGCTGGGAATGAGTCAGGAATCCTGAAATTGGGATTTTTTTATGGAATCCTGGAATGGTTTGAGATGGAAGATCTTGAAGATGATCCCATTCCCGCCCCCGCCATGGGCAGGGACGCTTCCTATGATCCCAGGGTGCTCCAGCCTGGCCTGGGACACTCCCACAGGGATGGAGCAGCCACGGATCCTGTGGGAATTCCATTCCAGCTCTTCCCAGGGAGGGATTTCATCCCCAAATCCCACTGAAACGAGGAAACCGGGACTCGCCAGCGTCTCCCAACTCCGAGCAAACCCCGGCGTGGGAACGGCACCAATCTCCCGGCTGGAACGTCGGCAGGGAAAACGAACGGAGAAAGGAGGGGAAGGAGGAGAAATCAAAAGGGACAAAGGAGAAATACAAGGAAGAATGAGGAATACAAGGAAAAAGGAGAAATACAAGGAAAAATTAGGAATACAAGGAAAAATTAGGAATACAAGGAAAACTGAGAAATACAAGGAGAAAGGAGAACTACAGGGACAAAGGAGGAATACAGGGGGAAAAGGACAAATACAGGGAAAAGAGAAATATAGGGGAAAAGGAGAAATACAAGGAAAAAGAAGAAATACAAGGAAAAGGGAGAAATATAGGGGAAAAGGACAAGTAGAGGGGAAAAGGAGAAATACAAGTTAAAATGAGAAAATAAAGGGAGAAAAGAGAAATGAAGAAACAAAAATAAAAAGGGATAAAGGAGAAATACGAGGGGAAAGGAGAAATAAGTAAAGGGACAAAGGAGAAATAAAGAAAGGGATAAAGGAGAAATAAAGAAAGGGACAAAGGAGAAATAAGTAAAGGGACAAAGGAGAAATAAAGAAAGGGACAAAGGAGAAATAAATAAAGGGATAAAGGAGAAATAAATAAAGGGATAAAGGAGAAATAAATAAAGGGACAAAGGGCCCGGAATGTCGGCGGCACCGTGGCAACCGCCCCCCGTCGCCCCTCATCTGTATGCCCGGGCTGAGCCCCGCGGCCGCCGCGCTCCATGGAAACCCCGAGCTCCCGGAACCCCGGCCTGGAGATGGGATTGAGGAGCTGCCGCAGGGAAAACTTCCCGTCCTGGGGGCGTTTTCAGCAATTCCGGGGTTTTGGTGATCGGCCCCTCTGGGGCTGGGTGTTGGCGAGGCGAGGGATGGGAGGGTTTTTGAGGAATATGAGGGTTTTCCTGGAATATGAGCGTTTTCCTGGGATGTGAGGCTGTTCTTGGGATGGGAGAGTTTTCCTGGAATATGAGTTTTTCTGGAATATGTGGGTTTTCCTGGAATATGAGAGTTTTCCTGGGATGGGAGGCTGTTCTTGGAATGGGAGGGTTTTCTTGGGATGGGAGGGTTTTCCTGGAATATGAGAGTTTTCCTAGATAAGGGTTTTCCTGGGATACGAGGCTGTTCCTGGCATGGGAGGGTTTTCCTGGCATGTGAAAATTTTCCCGGGATGGAAAGGTTTTCCTGGAATATGAGGGTTTTCCTGGGATATTGAGGGTTTTCCTGGGGTATGAGGTTGTTCCTGGAATATGAGAGTTTTCCTGAAATATTAGAGTTTTCCTGGGATACCAGGCTGTTCCTGGGATACCAGGCTATTCCTGGGATGGGAAGGCTTTCCTGGGATGCCAGGCTGTTCCTGGGATGGGAAGGTTCACCCTGTGTCCCTCACAGCAGCCTCCAGCTGCCATTTTGGGATTTTATTCCCTAAAAAAAATCATTTCCACGGGCCGGGGAACACCTGGCCAAGTCCCTGCCGAGATCCGTGCTGGGATTTTTGCTTGGGAAAAGCGGCTTTGGAAGCGTTTCCTTGGAGCTTTTCCCAAGGCTGGACAGGGTTTGGAGCCACCAGGATGGGCAGAATCCGCTCCAAACCCACCAGCACCACCACACTGCTCCACCACCTTTTCCAGTGATTTCTCCCCCCACTTAATCCTTGCTTTGTGCACAAGGATGGGATTTTAAATTTGTTTTTCCCCATCCTCCTGCATCTCCGCGGGCAGGGAGGGCGATAACGCGATTCCTGTTATTCCTGCTTTTTATCTCCTGCCAGGAGATAAAAACACGGCCGGGAGCAGCGAGGAAGAGCTCGGATCTGGCTCTCGGCGCTTCTCGGCCTCTCTCCGGCTGGATTTTAATGAGGGAGGCTGGGAAATCAGCCTGGTGTGCTCATCCGGGCGCTTCCAGCCTCTGGAATTGCTTTGCCTTGGGAATTGTCTCGGCTCTGGAATTGTTGTTTTGCCTCTGGAATTGTTGTCTCGGCTATGGAATTGTTGTCTCGGGTCTGGAATTGTTGTTTTGCCTCTGGAATTGTTTTGCCTCTGAAATTGTCTTGGCTCTGGAATTGTTGTTTTGCCTCTGGAATTGTTGTTTTGCCTCTGGAATTGTTGTCTCGGCTATGGAATTGTTGTCTCGGGTCTGGAACTGTTGTTTTGCCTCTGGGATTGTTTTGCCTCTGGAATTGTTGTCTCGGCTCTGGAATTGTTTTGCCTCTGGAGTTGTTTTGTCTCTGGAATTGTTGTCTCGGCTCTGGAATTGTTTTGCCTCTGGAGTTGTTGTCCTGGCTCTGGAATTGTTGCTTTGCTTGTGGTTTTTCCCCCTCCAAACGCTCCCATGGGTTCCTGTGGCTTCCCCCATCCGGGCTCAGCCTCCATCCTGGAAAAAGGAGCAACATTTGGCCCTCTTGGCTGCAAACGGCACATTCCAGAGGGGTTTGGATCCCGCAGGCATTCCCTAGAGATCGCCCATCCCATCCCGCGGGACGCCGAGGGAGCTTTGGGGACGCTCAGGTCCCTGGGCTGGGTCCCTTCTCTCAAATTCAGCTTTTGGAGTTCGGCCTTTCCGAACGTTCATTCCTGTCGGGATAAATCCCTGGGGATTTCCTGGGGTGGCTTCCAGCTCGTCCTGGGACATCCTGGACCACGGCCAGGATCAGGAGGGGATCTGGGAGTGAAATCCAGGAATGAAATCCATGAAATCCAGGTCCCTCCCTGCCCGCAGGAGCTGCCTCGGGGTGGCACAAAAGCCCCGGGGGCGACAGCTTTGTCCCCTGCGTGTGGCACTGTGGGAAGCCTCAAATCCATGATTTTCAGACAAGAAACCTCAAATCCATGATTTTCAGCCGGGAAAGCCTTGAATCCATGATTTTCAGACAAAAAAAACCCCTCAAATCCATTCTTTTCATCCGAGAAAGTCACAAATCCACAATTTTCAGCAAGGAAAGCCTCAAATCCATGATTTTCAGACAAGAAGCCTCAAATTTGTGATTTTCAGCTTGGGAAAGCCTCAAATCCATGATTTTCAGACAAGAAACCTCAAATCCATGATTTTCAGCCGGGAAAGCCTTGAATCCATGATTTTCAGTTGAGAAAGGCTCAAATCCATGATTTTCAGTTAGGAAAGGCTCAAATCCATTATTTTCAGCAAGGAAACCTCAAATCCATGATTTTCAGCTGGGAAAGCCTTGAATCCATGATTTTCAGCCGGGAAAGCCTCAAATCCATGATTTTCAGCCAGGAAGCCCTGGAGCCATCTCATTTTATCCCCGAGCCTCGGTCCATGGGGTTAACCTGGAGCATTTGGAATTGTCCACATTGCACTGGGAAAAAGGTGGCTGCGCTCTGCCCCTGGAGAAATCCGGGACTAGGAGGATGGAATTTCAGCTGGATTGTCTTTCCCTCTGGAAAATCCAGGTTTTTTATCCCCCTGAGCAGCGCTGAGCTGCAGCTCTCTGCATTTTTGGGAGCAGCTCCAGCTCCTGGCAGCGGCTCCGGGCTGCAGCAGGAGCTGAACTCTGGCTGTGCCTGCAGATCCCTGTTCCCAAATCCCACATTTCCAACAGAAAATAAGAACGTTCCAGGCAGAAAGGGGATGGGGGAGGAGGAAAAAAAAACTGATTTTGGGGTATTTATCTCCCTGCCACCTTTTTTTTTTTTATGATTTGCAGAGCCTGCGCTCGTTTTTCCTCCCACACAGGGCCTGTTCCATGGAATTTCCCAATCCAGCCCCTTCCCATCCGGGCAGGAGGTCGCAGGTGCATTTCCAGAATATCCCGAATATTCCCCTCCTGCCCCACGCCCTTCCTGGCTGTTCCTGCCTCCTTTTTTCCTGAGGATCTCCTTCCTGAGGGATAATTTAGAGCCCTTCAGCCTCTCGAAGCCGGCGCTAAGGGTTCCAGGGAAAGCTTCCAAATGGAATTTGCTTCCAGATTTTGGGAAATTCTGTGATCAGCGCTGCTCCGGTCCCTGCACTGGGAGCTGTGCGGAGCTGGGAGCCCCCAGCATTCCCACAGAGAGATCCAGGATTCCCTGAGCATCCCAGAGAAATCCAGGATTCCCCAAACATCCTAGAGAGGTTTGGGGTTCCTTGAGAATCCCAGAACCAGAATTCCGTGAACATCCCAGAG